TAATAATAACATAAATCTCCAATTCACATTATCAAATGCCTTTTGGGCATCTAAGAATATCAAAGCCATTTGTTTTTCAGGGTGCGCCTCGTAATATTCCAATGTGTCCAGGATTACCCTCATATTGTCTTTAATTTGTCTCTTTAGTAAAAATCCATTCTGATCAGGGTGAATAAAGTTGTTTAAATATTTTTTAAGCCTCTCTGCCAAGATTGAAGCAAAGATTTTATAATCTGCATTCAATAAGGAAATAGGTCTATAGTTCTTAATTTGTAATGGGTCAACCCCTTCTTTTGGGATAAGTGTAATATAAGCTTCTGACCATGTTTTAGGTATTTTCTTGTTTATCATAACTTCATTCATGACTTCTAACAGTGAAGTGCTCAACGATTCTTGTAATGTTTTATAAAATTCTGCCGGGAGACCGTCTGGTTTGGTGCTTTTCCATTGTTCTGTCTGTTAAGTGCTTCAGTTAGTTCCATCATTGTTATGGCACTTTCTAACATTTTCCCAGTTTCATCCGATATCTTAGGTAGGTTAGCATTTTGTAAATACTGTTTAATTTTTTCCTCATCAAGATCCTCCTGTTTATATAATTGTCCATAGAAGTCTCGAATAATTGCCTTTTTCTCTTTATTACCATAACAAATTTGACCTTGATCGTCTATTAACTATAATATTTTCCTTGATTCTTTCTCTTTTCTCAATTTATATGCTAACCATCTACCTGGCCTATTTGCATCTTCAAAATAGTTCTGTTTAGCACTTCTATTTTTTTGTGCCTGTTCTTCTTTCTCTACTTGATCCATTTAATGTTTGATTATATCCATTTTGAGTTTAACATCTTTTTTCTGTGGCGTTTTCTGTAATTCTTTTTCCAGTTTTTTATGGTCTTCTTCTAGAGCTTTAATCATTTGCCTCTTCCTAATGTTCTTTTTCTTTGTATAGTCTATTATTAATCCTCTTGCATATGCCTTCATTGTATCCCAAACATTCTGTATTGAAGTATCTTCTTTTTTATTTTCATTAAAGAAGAAGGCCAGTTCTTTTTCCATCAATTGTGTAAAGTTTTTTTCCTTTAAAATAGTATTGTTTAATGTCCATCTAGATCTTCTTTTTTGTCCTTTCCATTTAATTGTCATTGGATTGTGGTCTGCCCATGTACTTGTTTCAATATTTATTTCTTGAATATTGGATAATAATTCTGTTGATGTCCAAATCATATCTATTCTGGACCATGATAAATGTCTATTGGAATAAAAAGTATATTGTTGAATTTTAACATTTCTTTCTCTCCATATATCTTTTAAGTTTAATTCATCTGTCATTTTAAAAAAGGATTTAGGGAGAGTCTTCCTATTTTGTCGTGTTGCTTTTGCTGTATAGTCCAGTTTATTGTCTACAATTCCATTGAAATGTCCCATCATAAGTATATTAACATAGTCCAGTCCAATTATTTTCATGTGTAATTTTTTTATAGAATTCTTCTTGTTTATCATTCGGGGCATAAATTGCAACCAAGAGCGTTTTTGTATTATTATCCACTATTTCAACCATTAATACTCTTCCGTCTTCATCAGTATAAATCAGTTTTGCTGGAATGGTTTCTTTAATGTACAAAACCACTCCTCTTTTCTTACAGTGGGTCAGAGAAGTAAATATTTTCCCTAATTTTGATCGTGCCAGTAATTGTTCGTGTTGTTTTTTAATGTGTACTTCTTGTAGACAAATTATATCAAATTTTAGCTTCTCTAATTTGTGAAAAGTTTTTCTTCTTTTGGTAGCTGAATTCAGTCCATTTATATTCATGGAAATCAGTTTTTTTTTTTTTGGTTATGCTTTATATTTAGGTCTAACAGCTCTCGTGGATCTTACTTCACGTTGTTCTTTGGTCTCCACTTGTCCACCTATTGCGCCTTCTTCTTTTCCCGTTCCCATTTGGTCCTCTTCAAATTCAGTTAAAATGTTCTCTTTTTCTATCTCCATTTCTCTTCTTTCGAAAAATTCCTTGTAAAATATTTCTGCTTTCTCAATTGAATCAATTCTGTGTCTCTGTTCTTGCCATGTAAACATTAATCCTTCTGGAATCAGCCATCTATAATTCACCTCTTTTTTCAATAGTATTTTGGTCAAAAATCGATATTCTCTTCTAATCTCTCTCACTTTTCTGGGTACTTGTTTTAAAACCACAATCTCTTTGTCTTTGTATTTCAACACCTTCTCTCTTGCCACTTGTAATATTTGAGTTTTAATAGTTTTTTGGGTAAATCTGACATGGACCTCTCTTGGTAATTGGTTCCTCATCGCATATCTTGTGAAGACTCGATATATCTCATCTACTCCATCCATCATCTTTTCCTCTGTTATTTCCAAGGCTCCAGCCAAGATTTCAATCATTACTACAGCCAAATTTTGTCCTTTTTCTTCCTCAATATTTAGGAATCTAAGGTAAAATTCTGACCTGTCCATCTCCCACTTCAACATCCCACTTTTTTCTTGTTCAACCGTTGTTAATCTGCTATCAATATTTCCAATTGTGTCATCTCTTTGCTTATCTTTCTCTTCTATTTTTTGGATTCTCTCATCATGTTTCACCATCATTTGTTGAACATTTTCAAATTTTTCATCAATCTTCCCAATTCTTTGATCAATACTCTCCATTCTTTGTTCCATACTCATTTTTAGTTCTTGTATTCCTTGCATAACCGTCATTAAATCCACTTGTGCTTTATCTTGCTTCGCCATTATTGAAAGTCGTCCTCCAGTTGATGGGGAGACAGGAGCAGAAGTTGAAATGCCCAAAGGTAAAATCGGTAGCAGAAATTTTGAGTAGTTTGGAGAACTGGCAAATAGCACTTCTGACTGGAGATTTTACAGTATCCCTCCCCTCCTACACCCACTAAGCCATGCCCACTGAACCGGTAGTAAAAAAAAAATAGAATCCCACCACTGATCCACTCCATCGGTACAATGGACAGATATGCAGCATGTACAAAGAGGTTTATGACATTTAATAGTCGCCACATGGTTGCACCCATTTCACCATGGACCCCCACCACAGCTGCCCAGCAAGGCCATTTATCCTTAGCTGACCTTCTGCCATCATTTCTCTCTCTCTCTCTCTCTCTCTCTCTCTCTCTCTCTCTCTCTCTCTCTCTCACACACACACACACACACACACACACACACACACAGAGAGAGGCTGCCTGCCACTGGTCCCAGGGGATTCTTCAAGAGAAACTTGTCCCCAGCCAATTGGCTGCACAGAACAAATAGCTTTGGATCTCAGCAGAAATTATCAGGCTTAGGAGTAAGCCATTGCCTTCTGATTGAATGTGGTGGAACTGAGTGATGTGGGAAGGGGTCTTGGGTGCCAGGGAGGCTAGGGATACAGTGATTGCTCTGTGGAGCAATTAAGCTGCTTCTCTCTGCCAGGAGCAAATGGAGGGCATTCAGCTCCACCCTGTGGGTTCTGCTGCTGTTACTGCTGATTGCATCCTGTCTAGCCCTGCTCTGAACCCAAGTCCTCTGGAATGCTCTGGCACTGCGAGGAGGAGTTAGGTGCAGAGTGAGGCCAGGCAGAATGAAATGGGTGGTGGTGACAGCCACCTCCTAAAAGTCTTGGAAGGAAGGCCTTGCCCCTCACTCTGGGGTGCCTCAAGTTCCACCAACCCAGTGCAGGCAATCTTGACGGGGTGAGGCAGCCAGCATCATGGCTGGCATACTTGCTCATAACAGTAGAATTAGCCACAATTCAGAAAGTCTGGAGGAGGGGAATAATCTGGCTTCCATCTCCACACTGTTACATTTATTCTGAGATAGAATACTTGCAAAAAAAAATCAATATATACATCATAAAATAATCCATAGAATATAAATATCAATACATGGAAATTATGGAAATTTCAAAGAAGAAACACTACTCAAGAGAAATAATGGATATACAAAATTTGTGTTTATACTAGGAACATTTTATTTGTAGGATTTAGTATTGATTTTTGTAGGCAATTTGAATAAAATCAGTTCTTTTCTCAAAATCTGTACTACATCCTTACATGGACCCATTCCCTCCTCATGTTTCAGATTTTCGATTTTAATGCAACAATTACCAGTCTTGTTTAAGAAAAAACACTCCTAAAAGTTATGCCCTCCCTCTCCCCCAAAGTCAATGATTTAAAATGTGGAGAATAAAAAAAGAAGATACTAAAAAAGAGAAATAATGATAATCTACAAACTCATCATATCATGGTCATAAACCCTTGGGAGGGTGCTAAAGAGTAAAGGTTCCCAACCTGTGGGCTGCAGCCCACTACCAGTCCACTACCTATTCACAATGTGGGCGCTCAGGGCCTCATTTGGACAAGTGTCATGGGCATTGACATTCCTACCCATATGTGAGCATCGTAGGTGCTCACAACCTCACTGAGCATCACAGGCACTCATGTCCCACTCAACATGAGTATTGCAGGCACTCATGGCCTCATTCATGCAGGGAATGGATGCTCATGCATACAGACACCCCTACCTCTCTCACAAAATCATGTGATCTTCCCCTCTACTCTGTGTCACCAACCTGGAAAGTTTGGGGGACTCTTCAGTAGGGCATTGCATGCCAAAACAACTAGACACAGGAACAGTTGTCCCATCAATCAGCTGTACACCTAATTCTCAAAAAGCTGTCTATTGTCTACATATATTTATACATGTATTATGGATGTAGTATCATTATTTATCCTTCATATTATCTTATCTACTCCCTGTCTTATTGGTATAGATGATGATGATGATGTTTTGCATGTGCATTAAGGTCTTCTGCACCAGAGACAAATTCCTTGTGTATTTAATCACACTTGAACAAATAAATAAATAAAAATAATAATGAATAAAGTAATAAATAACTAAATGCATAAATAAACACATTAATAAAATTTAAAGCTTGGGGAAAGACTGGATACTGTAGGAGAGAGAAATCATAGAAAAAGGACAGTTTGGGTGTATTATTAATATCTTTTCTTTATTAATTGTTCTTTGTTGTTGAGTTCTGGCTTAAAAATTATTGTGAAACATTTGGGAAAATATATGCAGACCAACAACCCAGCACTTGAGGCCAAAATGGAGAAAACCTCCACAGCCACCATGTATTTGCCTTTGGTGCTCAGGTAAGATGGAACAAAAGAGATCCACACACTGCAGAAGATCAGCATGCTGAAAGTGAGACATTTGGCCTCATTGAAACTGCTAGGGAGATTCCTGGACAAAAAAGCTACTGTGAAACTTGCAGCTGCCAGAAAGCCCATGTAGCCCAGGACACAGTAGAGCATGGTAGCTGAGCCTTCATTGCACTGCAGTATGATCTCCTCAATTTCTGAATTGGTGTCAATGTCAGGGAAAGGAGGAAATGTGAGCAGCCACACTGTACAGATGCCTGCTTGAACCAGGAAACCAGAAAACACAATTGATGTGGTCAGTCTTCTTCCCACCCAGTTCCTCATCCTGGATCCTGGTTTGGTGGCTATGAAAGCTAGAACCACAATGATGGTTTTTGCTAGCACACAAGACACGGCCACTGAGAAGATGATGCCAAAACTAATTTGTCGAAGGAGACATATTACATTTCCAGGAGCAACAAGGAACTGCAGTGAGCACAAGAAGCAGAGGAGGAGGGAGATAAGCAGAACATAGGTGAGATTTCGGTTATTGGCCTTGACAATAGGTGTGTTGTGATATTTTAAAAATGTTGCCAGCACCAAAATTGTGATGAGAGAAAACAAAAATACCAGAATGGCTAAACTTATTCCCATTGGTTCTTCATAGGACAAAAAAGATACTTTCTTCAGAATACATGAATCTTGTTTCTTATTTGGATATTGATTTTCTGGGCATTTGGAACAGTCATCCATGTCTATAATTTAAATATAAATCTTTAATACATGTATATACTTTTGATCATCATACTATTCTTAGTATCAATTTATATTTTACCTCCGGAGGCAAGATTACATTACATGGACTCTTACATTATCCATTTGACTTTTGTCTGTTGTACTAGGTACATAATGAACATAAGAAAACATGGACATTCTTTCCTAAGGAAGAGAATGTTATTTACTTATGACTTCATTTCATATTTCTCATTTATTTGTGCTTCATGTTGTTTGACTTTATTTTTGTTAGTTGTATTGTTACATGTTTATTGTTTTATCTCCAACAAGATCCTCTAGAAAACATTTTAATATATACACATACACACACACACACACACACACACACACACACACGTTAAAAAGTTTTCTAGAGGATCTTGTTGAATATCTCTCTCTCTCTCTCTGTGTGTGTGTGTGTGTATGTATATACAATTATGATTGTCTTTCTACCTGATAATTTTTATTTAATTTTGCTCATTTAGTATACTTAAAATATTATATTTTGTATTTTAAAAATAACATCAAACATTTTTAAATAGGCAAAATTAATTCTCACATCCATTAATACAAGTTTTGCTGTAAGAAAAAGAGGAAAGGTGTTCCCTATTCTCCTTACATTCAATATTTCTTTAAGGTTCCTGAAAGAAGTGGAAGAGATTGTGTTAAAGTTAGAATGAAACATTGTTAACAAAATAAGACCACAACCCAATATAAGGGAAACAGAATGTTTTATAGATAGTTCTCACACAGTTAGAATTGTGATGAAAAGGTAACATTGTGTCCAAACCCCTCTTTTACAAACTTTGTGAATTTCTTTCTCAGTCAAGTATTTGCCATTTAAAGTCAGTATATGTTATCTTGTGCGTGATTCATTTTTTTCCTTCCCCTCATTGCAGAACAGGGAGATTGCCAGAAGAAACTACCCCTTCGTGAGTTGTTTTTCTCTACAAGGAGCAATTCCCTGAAAAATGCTAATTAGAAGTTAATAAATTGAGTTCTGTGGCCTTAAATAGTTGATTAGAAATAACTAGCTGGCTCACATTGCTAGGTGTCACTGACAAAACCTTAATCAGATTTTACACTAAAAGCATTTGATTGCTTCCTATGTAGCCTCTGGCTCACACCAACCTATGTGCCAGGCAAATAGCTGGCACTATTGTCTTCATGTTACAATGTGTTTTACATTGTGAGTGCTTACTTTTCTTGCAATCTTTTCCTCTCCAATTAATATAAATATAAACATCATTTTTTCTTTTGCTAATAATTACAGCTCTAGAATTCCAAAGAGTGGGGGAATGGGAAAAATGTGTGATAGGTAGTCCTTGTCAACTCATAAAACATTTTGTATACACGTTTTATAGTTGACAACAGAAAGAAGGGCGGGGGAGTTTCAAAGAGCAAGCAACAGAGTAAATCGAAACTACATTCCATTCATATTTTCTTACTGATTAGATGGCTGAAGCTTCTGCAGCGAAAAAATCTAAATGGAGAGCATGATTGATGACTCTTGGCTATGAATGTTTTTTCATTGGATTATACACCTAGAAGGGTGGGGGAAGAGTAGGATCAAGGGTGACAGTGAATTACGTGTCTCAGATTTGGCTATGCCCAGGTTAGTACCAGACGTAGAATGTCACCTTCAAATAAATCCTCTTTAGTTTCCGGAGTGTGGCTCAAGGCTTATGATTTAATTGGAATAACTGCTGGAACCCTGACAGTCCTTGTCTAGTACCTTCCTTCTTTGGCAAATCATTCACAGTTACAATAGTAATTAAATTTTGTGACCAATCCTTGTATTTAAGACCCTTTCAGATATATAGGGAAAAGAAAAACTGAAATAACATTATAAACATAGTTGCAGTCTCACTTAGCGACTCCATCTCTTAATGACAGAGTGGCAGGTCCAACTGTGATGTCAGACGCAAGGAACCAGTACAACTCAGGGAACAAAGCAAAGCTGTTTCTTTATTGCTGGTCATCTATTTATAAGATTCTCGCCAAAATGACTGAATTTCTTTGGGAAACTGCAGATAAAGGCTTCAATAGCCTGGCATCTGTTGTTTCTTCCCACAGAGTGAATCCATGCTGAAATGCCTTTTTTATTATCCTCTTTCCTTTAGGCAATGATTTCACCACATGTGGCCACTAAATGAGAATCACAGTTTGTTATCTCAATTAATTGTGTGGGATTTTGTGAAGATTTTTTAAATAAATAAAAATAGTATCAAAAAGTTTTAGATAACTCAAAAAATAAGTTAATGTGCTTTACAAATGATATATTGAGCTGTGGTAGTGCAATGGTTAGAATGCAGTACTGCAGGATACTTCTTCTGACTGCCAGATGCCTGCAATTTGGCAGTTCAAATCTCACCAGGCTCAAGGTTGACTCAGCCATCCATCCTCCTCAAGTCAGTAAAATGAGGACCCAGATTAGTGGGGGGGCAATATGCTGACTCTGTAAACTGCTTAGAGAGGGCTGTAAAGCACTGCCAAGCAGTGTATAAATCTAAGTGCTATTGCTATTGCTATATTTGCTGTGTCATTTAGGTACCCAACTGACATGAAGACTGTCCAGTTCAGGCCAGCCAGTTTTAAACTCTTAACTCTGCCTGAAGCCTTCCTTTCAATTGGTTGTGGAATTTTTCTTTATGCAAAGGGAAAACCTACTAATTGGTAAACCATAATTCAGACCTCATACTTATGTTCATGGATCTGCCTTGGATGACGTGCAGAATTACAAGTCAATTTGGTTCACATTATCTCTTACCCTTCTGGCTTGAAATTTTCTCTTTGGGACATGGAAGGCAATCATAGCAGCAAAATGGCTTTTCCTCCTGCTTTTTCTTGAAATAACCAGGAAGACAACTCTCAGTACAAACAGAATCAGGTATGGTCTGCCCAATATATGAAAGAAGAAAAGCATTAACTCATGTAGTTGGGAAAAAAATTGAAAAATCATGACTGACTCAAATTCTGAAAATAGAGAGTGCTAATTTAAGGATTTGAATTTTTTTACTCTTCAATCTCATCATTAAAACTACTTGAGTGAATTCTTTTATTTTTCAATTCTACCAAGTATATAGATAACCTTGTTTCTTTTATACTAGGAAATATATTATACTGGGGCCATTTCTCAGGGGTGAATCTTTTCAGTGGAACTCAAAAATGCCTTTCAAGATACTGGAAAGTATCCACTTATAATGCAAAACAACAATGTGTTATTATATAATGCAAAAAATAAATAAATAAAGAAGAATAAATATTTTTTCAGAGTTTTTTATGACAATTTAATGCAAAATACAATGAAGCAGTTGAAAGGGATATTTAAGGTGATGGTTCTAGAGTTAAAAGACATCTAATAAAAAGACATGACAAATGTTGAATGAAAGTTCAGATGTGGAGAGTAACTACAGTCAACTGGTAGTAATCAAATTTATAGACAATGGTGTACAATTAAAACTATCATTATAAGTTAGTTTTTCTTAAACTTAGACTAGAGCAAATGATGGAATGAAATATGCAGAACCAAAGACTTGGAGGTATTGCAGAATATCTAATTTTAGCTATAGCATTAATAATCTGTAATAATTACTTGAGCCAAAGATTTAGGAAAATATATTTGTGCTTTAAATGCAGGTTGCAGAGAATTAATTTGTCATTTAAATGAAAAATGATATTGATGATTCATTATTAGTTTTCTGCTAATAAGGCATATTATCTCTTATTATTTGCTAACAAGGCACATTAAACATTCTACTATCATCCCAGTGCTGAAGAAACCTTTCATCAAGGAACTGAATGACTACAAACCAGTTGTTCTGACAGCCATATTTATAAAAACCTTTGAAAGACTGGTGCTGGCCTACCTGAAAACAATAATGGATCCGCTGTTAGACCCTTTGCCATTTGCCTACCGAGCAAATAGATTAGCAGATGATGCTATTAATATATCTCTGCACTACATCCTATAATATCTTGAATTTCCAAAGACCTATGCAAAGGTCCTCTTTGTAGACTTCAGATCAACATTCAATACCATCATTCTAGATATTTTTCTAACTAAATTAAATCAGCTAGCTGTGCCTCACCACACTTGGAAGTGGATCATAAGCTTCTTAACAGCAGGAAGCAGCAGGTGAAGCTAGACAAAATCTCATCAGATATCTGTACAATTAGCACAGCCCCCTCTTCCAGGGCTGTGTGCTCTCTTCAGTTCTCTTCTCTACCAATGACTGCATCTCAAAGGATCCCCTGGTAAAGTACTGAAGTTTGCAGATGATACAACAGTGACTGGTTTCATTCAAGACAATGACGAATCAGCATACAAATGGGAGGTTAAACAACTAGCCTTGTGGAACTGAACACACACAAAACCATAGAAATGATAGTAGACTTCAGGAGAAACATTTCCATATTACCACCTCTTACAGTACTAGACAACACAGTAGCAACAGTAGAGACCTTCAAGTTTCTAGGTTCTATTATATCTCAATATTTAAAATGGACACCTAACATCAAATACATCATCAAAAAAGCATAACAAAGAATGTTCTTCCTGTGTCAACTCAGAAAACTCAGGCTCCCCAAGGAGCTGCTGATACAAATCTACAGAGGAATTATTGAGTCTATCATCTGTAGCTCTATAATGGTCTGGTTTGGCACTGCAACCAATCAAGACAAACACCGACTTCAATGGATAATTAGAACTGCAGAAAAAACCAATTGCTACCAATCTGCTTTCCACTGAGGATCTGTACACTGCACAAGCTAGAAAGAAGGCTGTGAAAATATCTAGAGACTCCTCAGATCCTGGACACAGTTTCAACTTCTACCCTCAAAATGATGTTATAGGGCACTGAACATCAGAACAACTAGATACAGAGGGCGGAGCTGGCATCGTGGTGGTACAGCATGCGATCTTGAAACTCTAAGATATCTCTGTTGCAGGACGGTCCCACCAGACCTAAAACATCCCGTAGAGACAGTGACTGAGGAGGGCACATCCTGTCGATTCCAGGGATGCCACAAAGTCCCTGGTAGGTCCAAGAGAAACCCTTTTTTCCCGCAGCAGAGAGGCAGCCATTAAAGCTGCTGAAGCTGGGACAGCTCCAGAACAGAAGAAAGCTGGAAAGAAAGTGTGTCAGTTTGGTGAGATAAATTTCTACTTACTATTTTCTGGAGAGAACACCCTAAAAGACTAAAAGTAAAATTTAAAAGTGAAGATAAAAGTGGTCAAGCTGTGAGATTAAGCACAAATTAAACCTGAAGGTTTTTTTTTCTTTCTATTGGAATTTGGATTTTTTGTAAAAGCTTTTTAATTTTTAAACTGGACTGGTCTTTCCTTTTTAACTTTTATTTTTTTTAAAAAAAATAAATAACTCCTTGGAAAAGGTTTTTTTTCTCTTCTTTTTAACAATTTTAGATTTTTATTTATTTATTCCTGGCTTAAATATTAGAGGGGAAGGGAAAGGAAAGGGAAATAAGCAGCACTGCCATCTGGAGGCTTGGATATATTGTTTTTCTTTCTTTCTTGTTGATACATTTGGTGTTATGTTCAAGGACTCTGAGTTTTTCACTGAAAAAATAGTGGGAAGAGCATGTAGATTATTTATGCAGGTGCTCTTCTGTGGAACTACTGATAGCTGGAGTCTGGAGTTGAAATTGAAAGAAATAAGTTTGAAGTGAGCTTGAAAAGAGAACTGGAAACTTTGTTATTTGAATTAGTAAAGAGCCTCAAATACTTAGTGGCAGTGCTTTGCTTGCTGACAGAATTGCATTTTCTCCCTCTTTTTTTTTTTTTTTTTAACTTTCCCTCCAGTTGGATTTTTATATTTGGATTTGAGTTTTTTGATGCAGAAATAAGATTACATTTTTTCTTCCTCCCTCCTCTCTTTGCTTTACCTTTTTAGCAAGGGGAATATACAGATTTATGTCTTTTTAATTTTTTAAAATTCTTTTATTTTTTCATCCTTTCTCCATTTTACATTTTTTCCTTTTTATATAATTGGAACAAATTGGATTAAGGTACTCAAGTGCCTGAAGATTTTTTCCCTTCCCTTTTTTATTTTTATTTTTTGCTTTTACTTTTTATTGGAGTTGTCTGCTCTTGCTTTTTCTTCCCATTTTTTCTATTAAGTATTGTAAGATCAGCAGAAAGAAACCAGCCTCAGCTTCTTTAATCCTGACTTCTTCCTCCTCACCATCTGGAGGACAACAATCAATACAGGTGATGTTGCAATAGGAGAAGGAGAAGGAAGTGACACTGCAGATGATTATGCAAGGAATTCAAAAGATACAAGCAGAAACAGATAACATTGAAAAGAGAACGGAAAACATTGAAAAGAGAACGGAGAATATTGAGCAAAGAACTGAAAAGACAGATGAGAAAATTGAAAATATCCAACAGATGATGATGCAATATGAAGACAGAATTAAGAAAATTGAAGAAAAAGACATATAAAGAGATAATGGTAGATGAGATAAACCTAAAAGATGCATGGAGAGAGAGAAATGCAGAAAATAAACAATATACTTTTTATTCAAATAGACATGAATCATGGTCCAGAATAGATATGATATGGATGTCAACAGAGTTGCTCTCTAACATACAAGACATTGAAATAGAAACAAGTACTTGGGCAGATCATAACCCTATAACAGTTGTATGGCAGGGACAAAAAAGGGAATCCAGATGGAATTTAAATAATATGATATTAAAGGAAAAAGATTTTAAACAGAAAATTGAGAGAGAACTGACTTTTTTTTTTAAAGAAAACACAAAAGAGGATACATCATTACAGAACCTCTGTGACACGATGAAGGCTTATACAAGAGGCTTGATAATGGACTATACAAGGAAAAGAAATACAAAACAGAGAAAAACTTTTAAAATATTGGAAGATGATCACAAGAGGCTGGAAAAAGAGCTACAGAAATTTCCACCAAAAAAGGGCATTAAAATTAAAATGGACATAACTAAACATAAAATGGGGCTAATGAAAAAAAGAGGAAATAGCACAAAAAATTAAAAATGCTAAGCAGAACTATTTTGAATATGCAAATAAACCAGGCAGGTGGCTAGCATATAAATTGAGAAAGGAAAGAGATTGAGGAAGGAGAAATCAATTGATAAACGAATAAGGACATGTATGGTATGGAAATGCGGAGAAGAAAAAATTATTCAAGGCTATTATGGAAAATTGTATCATCAAGAGAATGTTCAAGAACAAAGAATTCAACAATACTTACAGGAAGCAAATCTGCCCCAGATACCCAAAGATATTGAAATAATGTTAGAAAATAACATAACAATGATGGAATTAACAGAAGCTTTAAAAAAGCAAAATATTGGAAAAGCACCAGGTCCGGAAGGTTTGCCAGCAGAATTTTATAAGACATTTCAGGAAACATTGAATCTTCATTTATTAGAAGTTATGAATGAAGTTATGACAAAGAAGAGAATACCCAAAACATGGTCAGAAGCATATATTATACTTATACTTAAACAATTTTATTCATTCTGATCAAAATGGATTTCTGCCGAAGAGACAAATAAAAGACAATATGAGAATAATTTTAGACACACTGGAATACTATGAGGCACATCCCGAAAAGCAAATGGCTTTGATGTTTTTAGATGCACAAGAAGCCTTTGATAATGTGAATTGGCATTTTATGTTGCTACAATTGGACCAAATGGTCTTTGGTAAAAAATTTACCCAAGCCATAGAAATGATATATTGTAAACAAACTGCAAAAGTTATGATAAATGGAGAGTTAACAGACTATATAGATATAAGAAAAGGGATTAGACAAGGCTGTCCACTGTTGCCTCTGTTGTTTATGTTAACACTGGAAGTGCTGAATAGGAATATCAGAGAAGAAAAAGAAATAAAAGGAATGAAAATTAAAAAAGAAGAGTATAAATTGCAAGCTTTTGCAGATGACCTGGTATTCATATTAGAGGATCCATTGGAGTCAGCACCAAAACTGATAGAAAAGATAGAAGAGTATAGGAAAGTAGCAGGTTTGAAAATAAATAAAGATGAAACAAAGATTTTAACAAAGAACATATTGGCAAGATGAAAGAAAGAATTGGAGGAAGTTTGGGGGATCTAGGTCACAAATAAGGTTAAATATTTAGGGATACACATAACACCAAGATGTAGCACACTTAAGGAGAACAACTATCTTAAACTCAAACAACAGATTGTGACAGATTGGATAAAATGGGAAAATTTACAATTATCATTGTTTGGGAGAATATCTACAATTAAGATGACTGTATTGCCTAGAAACTTATATTTATTCCAGATAATTCCAATTAGACTAGGAAAAGAACGTTTTGAAGATCTAAATAAAATAGTGCTAAAATATATTTGGCAGGGGAAGAAAGCGAGAATAAAACTTAAACTGTTACAAGATGCAAGAATAAGAGGAGGATTCGCTTTGCCCAATTGAGAATTATATTACCAGGCAACGAGTTTGATGTGGGTAAAGGAGTGAATATCACTAAGGAATACTAGACTTTTGAATTTAGAAGGACATGACTTGCTGTTAGGGTGGCATGCCTTCGTCTGGTATAAGGGAACTAAAATGCAGGGGTATATTAGAAGACATTATATTCAAGAAGCATTGTTTTTAAACTGGGAGAAGATAAAAAAGCAATATTATCTAAAAATTCCACTATGGTTATCTACTATTGAAGCTTTTTCTTATCCAATAATATATAAAAAGGAACAAACAGTTTGATATGGTGAGATATTGAATGAAAAGGGTGAACTTAAATCTATGCAAGCATTGGAAGAATAAGGTGTAAAAATGAATTGTTTTTCACATTTGCAAATACAATCTAGATTTGATAAAGATATTGAAACAGAAGGTATCTATGATAAGTTGACTGATTTAGATAAAATTTTTACAGGTACTGATGAAAAAGTAATTAAAAAACTTTATGGACATTTGCTGGAGTTTAAATTAGAGGAAGAACAAGTTAAAGAAACAATGATTGCATGAGGGAAAATTTTTGGAGATGGGATTGATCTAGATAAATGGCAAAAATTGTGGTCTCAAAATTATAAAATGACAATGTCAACAGCATATAAAGAAAATTTGTATAAGATGTTTTGCAGGTGGCACTTCCCCGACGAATTGCGAGAATGTTCAAGAATAAATTGGATAAATGTTGGAAATGCCATCAGATACCTGGCTCATATTACCATATGTGGTGGACATGCTCGGATGCAAAAAGATACTGGACTATAATCCACACATGGTTGGAAAATATGACAAAACAACTCATAGACTTTATACCTGAGATATTTTTATTGGGAATTATACCAGAAATATATTGTAAAGAATTGAAATATTTGATTGTAAATGTTTTAACAGCAACTAGAATTGTATTTGCTAAGAATTGGAAAAATGAAAAAATATCTATGCAGGAGGAAATTATTAAGAATATCATGGACTGTGCTGAAATGAGTAAATTGACATTTGAAATCAGAGAACAAGAAGACAAACAATTTTATATGAAATGGGATTTAGTTTATCAATGGTTAGATGAAAAGACGTGGTAAAGAAATAGATTAGGAAGCTTTACAATAAAAAGTTAATAGATTGATATAGAATACAATATAAAATATATAACCATTGGATGAATGTATAAGATTAAATTATAATGAAATTTAGAATATCTCATACAGAATGATGGAAGAATAGTTTAGTCAAATGAATGATTAATGATTGATATTACATAAGCACATGCTAGATTGATAAGGTGAGAATTTATACAACTTGTGAGTAATGGTAAAAAAAAAAAAGGATAGCACAAAAGATTGTCACCAACTAACACACTGTATGTATATAACTGAAAGATGGTTTTGTTTTTATGTTTTATTTGTATGTTTGTTGTACAAAATAAAAACTTTATTATAAAAAAAGAACAACTAGATACAAGGACAGTGTTTTTACCCCATGCCATCACTCTGTTAAACAACTAATTCCCATAACACTGTCAAATTATCTAGAAAGGCAGCATTACCATCATTATTCTCATCTTCCCTATTACCTATCTCCTTCTTATGACTATAACTTTCTTGCTTATCATTTTTGTTATATGTACATTGAGAGCTTATGCACTAGAAACAAATTTCTTATCTGTCTAATCACACTTGGCCAATAAAGAATTCTAGTCTAATATTCTGCTAATAAAGCATATCCCAAAAAGCAGTGAAACATTTCCTAACTATTTCCACTATTCAGTTGTTTTGGCAATCTATATCATATAACATAAATCCATGGAGTACAATTTCAACATTGTATAATAACTCTAGAAATAGTATTCAAAAAATTGAATAGATGAAGCATTTTGAACCTCTAATATATTATTAGGTGTTTAAAAAATAAGAATGGTTCACTATGATTTATCAATCTATTTCATAAATTGGATTTATTCAAAACTTAACAACAAAGCAATGTTGGAGAAATAAAAAATAATATTTCATATACTGTATATGTGGAAACAATTTTGTTTCTCCAATATTCCACATACATATTAACAGGTAAAGCTTAAAAGCTTGCTTTATTCTTATTAAGTTTTGAGTGATAGCAATTTCTGAGATAGATTTCGTGTGTGTGTGTGTGTGTGTGTGTGTGTGTGTGTGTGTGTGTGTATGTGTATGTTGTGTTGCAAATATCTCCAGGATCAAAATATAGTTGTGGTGGTAGATGTAGCAGTTTTAAGGGACAGAAACATTAGGAGAAAGGACTATGAGAAGCTGTAGAAGTACCAGGGCTTAAAGAAGGAACTGAAAAGGATGTACAACTAAAAGCCAAAGTGACCGGAACACCCAGCAAGAGCTGGAAGAATAGCTCCAACAGAACCCAAGAACAATATCAAATCTCTTTCTAATATCAATTCTCTTTCTAAAAGAATACAGTGATATTCAGCTGATATACAATGTAGAACTCTCAGGCTCCAAGACATTTGGTAGATAATTCAAGATTGAGGAAGACAAATGCCACCCATAAAGGTGAGAAGACAATATTGTTTATTTGTAATGCAGAGTTGGTGCATAAGCTTAGAAGTCAAATGAATTATGTCTAGAAAATATATGTATATTTATGTGTGTGAATGTGCCTTCTAATCACTCTTAAATCTCAACAGCTGCTGAGACTAGTCCCTGAAATTCTCTTGCAAATATTTTTGGAAATATTTTGCCATAGCCCAGGAGTGTCAAACTAATGTTGTTACAGTGGCATCACATGAAATATCGGGACTTTTTTCCCTTTGCTAAACCAGGCAGGGGCGTGGCCAGTGCATGACACATCCGGCCCACAGGCTGCGAGTTTGACAGCCCTGCTATAGCCTTTTTCCTAGGACTGAGAGAAAGCGACTGGCCAAAGTCTCCCATTTGGCTTCATTGCTAAGGCTGGACTCTAGATATGCAGCTTAACTACTGCACCAAACTACTTCATCAAAGGCTTCTTCAAAGGCTACTTCATTCATTACAATTATGTTTGTGTAAATATTTTATATACCTCCTTTGTTGTTTTTTTAAACTTTGATAGCAACATAGGATAGGAAAATCTATATTAATTTTTGTAATGCTTAGATATAACTGCTTTTCAGAAATTTTGAATTATTAACTTGTAAACAATTCCTCTTTCTATCTTAAATTACATAGAATTAGACTTAGGAAATTATCCCAATCATTTAAACAATATCACCTACATTAAGAACCTACTTGGTTGAAAGTGCTGGGCCAGCTAATGGCTTCCTCATGAATGGTGAACATTTTATCTTCAACAGCCCAGGGATCCAGCTTTCCAACTTTCACTCGATGGAAAGACTGGTTTGGGAATGTGACCCAGTTCTCAATCTCTAATCCTGTAATAAGTTTGCCATTCTGGTCAAAGGAAATTTCATTCCCAACACTGTTGTTAAATGCAACTCTTTTCAAAAAGAAGTGAAGCTGAATATGAAATCAACATGCAAAAAGAAAACATGGTTACTATATGTATAGTGCATAGTTTTGCTTCTCTAATGTTAAACTAGAGTAGAATAACAGAGTTGGAAGGAACCTTGGAGATCTTCTAGCCCAACTTCCTGCTTAGGCAGGAAACCCTACACCGCTTCAGACAAATGGTTATCCAATCTCTTCTTAAAAACTTCCAGTGTTGGAGTGTTCACAACTTCTGTAGGCAAGTGATTCCACTGATTAATTGTTTTAACTGAAATTTCTCCTTAGTTCTAAGTTGCTTTTCTCCTGGATTAATTTTCAACAATTGCTTCTTGTCCTGCCCTCAGGTGCTTTGGAGAATAGCTTGACTCCCTCTTCTTTGTAGCAGCCCCTGAGATATTGGAAGACTGTTATCAGGTCTCCCCTAGTCCTTCTTTTCATCAAACTAGACATACTCAGTTCCTGCAACCATTTTTCATATAGTTTAGCCTCCAGTCCCTTAATCATCTTTGTTGCTCTTCTCTGCACTGTTTCTACATCTTTTTTACAACATGGCAACCAAAACTGGATGCAGTATTCCAAGTGTGGCCTTACCAAGGTATTATAAAGTGGTACTAACACTTCCTGTGATCTTGATTCTATCCCTCTGTTTATGCAGCCGAGAACTGTGTTGGCTTTTTTAACAGCTGCTGCACATGGCTAGGTCATATTTCAATGGTTGTCCAGTAGGACTCTGAGATCCCTCTCACAGTTACTACTATTGAGCAAGGTAATACATATATGGTACCTGTGTATTTTGTTTTTCTTGCCTAAATGTAGAACCTTACTTGTTTCACCTTTGAATTTCATTTTGTTAGCTAGAGCCCAGTGTTCAAATCTGTCAAGATCCTTATGTACTTTAAGCCTATCTTCTGGAGTGTTGGCTATTCCTGCTAGCTTGGTGTCATCTGCAAATTTGATTTTCCCCATCTATCCCTTTGTCCAAATCATTGATGAAGATGAATGAATGTACAACCAAACTCATACATGCAAGCCTGTACAATGCCATCACTACACTGGGACTGGATCAATTAGTAACTAACAACACTAAACTCAACAACTGCCTCGACCTCATCTTCTGCAACAAAATACAAGAACCCTTTTCAAACAGTGACCACAGCATGGTTGACTTCTGTCTCAATTTACCCCCTCACAAAAAGGATCACAATAATGGATCCCCAAACTACAATTTCAAAAAAGCCGACTATGATCTCATAGCTGCCGACCTATCATTTCTTGATTGGCACATTCTGTTCTCTTGCTGTAATACTACTGAAAACCATTATAATGTATTCTTGCTTGAACTTGAAAGAGTTATTAAACTATATGTACCATTAGTAACCCACAAAACAAAATTCCTAGTTGTACCACAACTAATTGCAGTGATCTACTACATATTGATTTTACAGAAGATAACATAGAAAAGGCACTAAGTAACCTAAAACCATCCCTATCTATTGGCCCTGATGGATTATGTGCATACTTTTTAAAAAAGCTCTCCACTGCCATAGCAGAACCCCTAAGCATAATATATGAGATATCATTCAGAACCAGCTCCTTGCCAAACCTATGGTCCTTAGCAATGGTCATCCCTATCTTCAAAAAAGGTGACCCCACCCTGGTTGAAAACTACAGACCTATCTCACTGTGTTGCGTTACATGTAAAGTCATGGAATCAGTCATTAACCAATCCATTACCCTCCACTTAGAGTCAAACAACCAACTCTCCAAAAACCAATCTGGTTTCAGAAAAAAAATATTCTGCAATCTGCAACTCCTACACTGTAAAAATATATGGACTACTCTACTTGACCAGGGTAAAACAATAGACACAACTTCCATAGACTTCTGCAAAGCCTTTGATTCAGTAGTACACAACAAACTACTGTTAAAACTAAACTCCTAGAGCATTTCTGGATCCCTTCATAAGTGGATTACAGTGTTCCTGTCAAACAGGCAACAAATAGTAAAAATAGGGAGCACCCTATCAATCCTTGCACCAGTTAACAGTGGTGCCCCCCAAGGCACCGTTCTAGGACCCACACTCTTTATACTCTATATAAATGACCTTTGCAATCACTTTATAAGCAACTGCATCCTCTTCACGGATGATGTAAAACTATTCAACACCACCGACAATGCTACTGCTCTTTAAAGTGACCTTAATTATGTGTCTGAATGGTCAAACAATTGGCAACTCCATATCTTGACCAACAAATGCTCTGTCCTACACATTGGTAAAAAAAATCAGTACAATAAATACAAGCTAGGTGGATATGACCTTGTTGATGACCCTCACTCTGTCAAGAACCTTGGTAATATTGAATTGCTAACTAGGGTATATAAAACCTTTGCTAGACCAATACTCAAATATAGCTCATCTGTCTGGAATCCACACTATATATTGGACATAAATACAATTGAGCGAGTCCAGAAGAATTTCACAAGAAGAATACTACACTCCTCTGCTCACAACAGAATACCCTACACCACCAGGCTTGAAACTTTGGGCTTGGACAATCTTGAAGTACACTGCTTACGGTTGGACTTAAGCGTAGTAATTATCTGCCACAATGTCCTACCAGTCAATGACTACTTCAGCTTCAACTGCAACAATACAAGAGCACACAACAGATTCAAAATCAATGTTAACTGCTCCAAATTTGATTGAAGAAAGTGGTCAGCAACAGTGGTCAATGCCTGGAATGTACTACCTGTTGCTACATCCTCAAACCCCCACTCCTTTAACCTTAAACTATCCACTATTGACCTCACCCCATTCCTAAGAAGTCTTTAAGGGACATGTATAAGTGCATCATTGTGCGTACCGTCCCTGTCCTATTGTCCCCATTTATCTGTACCTATTTCCTGTATTCATACTCATGTTTATTCTTATACCTATCACTTTGTAAGTGATTGACAAATCAAATAAATAAATAAATAAATAAAATAAAATAAAAATGTTGAAGAGTACTGGGCCTAAAACAGAGCCTTGGGGTACCCCACTGCATACTTTCCTCCATGTTAATGCAGTTCCATTGAGGACTACATGTTGAGTGCAGTTGATCAGCCAGTTAGAAATCCATCTGGTAGTGATGCTGTCTAACCCACATGTTTCTATTTTATCAAGTAGTAGGTTATGGTCTACTTTATTAAATGCCTTACTGAAGTCCAAGTAAATTGCATTGACAGCATTCCTCTGGTCCACTAATTTTATCACTTTGTCAAAGAATGCAATAAGATCAGTCTTCCATGACCTGTTTTTGTTTTCCTCAGTAAAATCCACAATAGTCTACTCTTCACTATATTTTACTGTTTCCCATTCTATTTTCTGCTTGTCTTTCCTTGTATGCAGGAAAGAAATACAATTTGGATGCAAGCTGGTTAGTTTTTCTATCTTTAATTCCATGGTTAGTCTTCTGAAGACAATGTACAAACGTTCTTCCATCTCTCATTTCTAGAGAAGTTTCTGAAAGTGAGCTTAGAAACAGAACAATAAGTATTTTTGTTTATATACATTTATCTCAACCTTTTAGATGCCTTTTCATCTCTTGCATTTTATTCACAAAGAAATTCAATTGGTCTTCTTTTAGGCTGTCATTTAATAGCCCCATTAAAAGATATATTTTTGAAAGCCCGGTTCTTTTCTCATATAATGTAGAAGAGATACAAATATGCTTGGATTGAACTAAATACCACAGACGAATCAAAATCCAATCATGAAACCACAGGCACATAATTTCTGCTGCATGGTAGTGTGTGCACAATTATTTGACTCCACTCTACATTCATTATTCTTTCTTTTTCAAGCACAAAGGCAATGGCTTATAGCTTTGGAAATATTTTCATCTTAAAAAATCAAATAGAAACTTCTAGTTCTTCCAACTCCTGTGTCTATTTAAGGATTCACTATTTTGGGCCCATACCATTTGGGCCCATACCATTATTGACAAAAATGCTTCTGAGGATGATACTTAAAAGAGGCAGTCAACTTGATCAAACAGTTCTTGTAACTAACAGAATTAAAGCTTCTTATAGCAAAGAGTCATTTTCTTTTCCATTTGGTTCAAAATGCTTATCTAAGTAGCATCTTCAGTACATGTCTCCAGAGTGGTTTTATTTCTCACTTAACCTTAATAAGCTATGGAGGTGAGTAGACAAAGAATCATTGTATGTGAATGTTCTTTCCCCTACATTAAATATTGCCATCCTGGTGGACTTTTGAAGTGATCTTAATCATCCTGGAGACTGATGAAAGAGCAGACTAACCAATGGTTGTGCCTGAAGTCTGTACTATGACTCAACTAAATCTGCTACAGCTATCGGGAAGAGAGGCAGAGAATAAGTGAGCTGTGAAAAAAAGTACAAAGAAAGTTTAATTTCACAAAAAAGAGAAAAAAATAAAGAAAAACGCAGAAGGCATTACTAACTTTCCATCTACATCTCACTGCTCTTTGTGGCCAAAAGGCTGTGAGATGCTAGAAAATCAGTGCAATTTAAATTTGATTTCCAATATATTTGATTATTCATAAAAATTACCTGCCATGGCTGGAGATCCTGAAGACCAAACTTTTTTCCATTAAACTTTTGCCTATATTGTTGGCCCAACTTCATGGCATGTAAAGCATGTGCCACAGTGTACACTGCATTGTATATACTGTAACTATGACACATCATCCTCATTTCAAAAAAAGTTCCAGGAAGGCTCTCCAATTTCTCCTTCCCTGTACAGACATCTTCCATTTCCTCATTCACAGATGGATTTGGAAACACACAACCAAATGCGTGCTCCCATACTTCCTTCAGGAAACCATCTTCTTTTGCTGAGAAATGGTTTCTTGTCTGGAGAAAATGTTGGAAACTTGCAATTTCATTTGAGTAAGGTGAAAAGCTCAGAGCAGCATGAAGGACTTGGATATCCCAGCTCTTCTGATAAAAGAATGAGGCAAGACTCATTTGGGAAGCCATGATCCACACTTTACCTTTTGGCTTTACAGAAACCATTTCCATTTCAGGTAGATATAACAACCATCGTAAATTTGCAAGATCATTATCATTGATTATGATAGCTTTGGCTTTGCTGCTAACAAGAATATGAAAAGTTTTTAGTATAAATTTCAAACTAGCAACATAATTTGTGAAATACACTGGTTTGAATTGTTCTAAGAAAGCAATACAGATTCTATGGACTGCAAATATTGAGAAGATTAGGTGCTGAAATGTTCTTCCACCAAATCCATAAACAAGTATACCAACCCAAGTCCACCTGAAGTGCAAAAGTAGTTGAATAATTCCCTTGTAATAAAGTTCTTCACCTGGAACCATGTGGTAGTAGAAAGGGCTTTCATTAGGAGAAGACCCTGTTGAAAACTATGGAAATAAAAATAAGAAAATAATGTAGAAATAATAGAAAAATATAGTGAAAATAAGATTGACAAAGGAAATGTGTATCCACTTTAAATTAAAGATTCTAAAATGTTAGCATATCTTCCTATGTAGTTTCTTAGTATAATAACAATGGCAATAGCATTTAGACTAACATGCCATTTCACAGTGCTTTAAAGCACTCTCTAAGCAGTTTACAGAGTCAACATATTGCCCTCAATAATCTGAGTCCTCATTTTACTAAATTTGTAAAATGAGGACTCAGAATCAGAAGGATGGAAGGTTGGGTCAACCTTGAGCCAGTCAGGATAAAACTCCAGAAGTAGGCATAGTTACCCTGCAATACTGTATTCTAACCACTATGCCACCTTGGCTTGATTACTTACTGTTGTGGGTCTAGAGCATGTTTATGTTCCCTTCAAACTCTACAATATTACAATTATCTGAATTCAGGAGCACTGAAAAGAGTCTAACATCTGAATCCTTGCTTTGACTTATGGTTTATATTTATTCCTTCCTTCCTTCCTTCCTTCCTTCCTTCCTTCCTTCCTTCCTTCCTTCCTTCCCTCCCTCCCTCCCTCCCTCCCTCCCAGTTAGCTTGCCCAAGGGTCAAAGGACTCCTGGCAACAATACCTTGATATATAAAATAAAGCATAATAACAATGAAATAATAAATAATGCAAAGCAAATAAGAAGAAATTACAAAATTCCACGAGAAGTGTGTGTGTTTGTTTGTGTGTGTGTGTGTGTACAATACATTAATACATTAATACATTTTATTTTGAGTTTTAAAGATGTTTTTTCAACTCCCTTCCTAAAAAAATTGAAATAGGATAAATAAGCTTTACCCTATTTCAGACTTATATGAACTGCTATTCCTTATGTACTTCTTGATGTAGAATGTTAACTCAGCCAGCTGTATCTCAAAGGGTATTCCAGTAAGTTGTCTTCAAGTATCTGTTCAGTTTAATTAAGATACTGAGGAAAAGAGACAAGACATCAAGGAGGACTTATTAGGATCAGGAAGTATTTTTGTTCTGCATTACTAATGGCAATGAGTGGCATGGTGGTCTAGTGGTGAAAATGCTTGCCTCTCACTAAGAAGGCAGGAAATACGACTTCAGGAAATATGATTGCAGGAAATACGACTTCAGCAATAGAGTGGTCAATGTCTGGAATACTCTACCCGACTCTGTAGTTTCTTCCCCAAACCCCAAAAACTTTAACCTTAGACTGTCTACTATTGACCTCACCCCTTTCCTAAGAGGTCTGTAGGGGGCGTGCATAAGCGCACCAACGTGCCTACCGTCCCTGTCCTATTGTTTCTCTTATTCTTTTATTTTTCTTATATGTAACCATTTCATGTATTCACAACTATGTATACATTTATACTTATTATCTTGTAAACAATTGGCAAATCAAACAAATAAATAAATAAATAAATAAAATCTGTATAAGATGTTTAAAAAAAAAAAAAAAAAGGCTGACAGTTAAATCCTAGGTAGCGACAGATGTTTCTCTCTCAGGGCGCAAAAAGAAAATATTTGTTGCAAATTCCATGTGGGCATCAGGAATAGCCTGTAAATACTTAGCTCCATTCAGATGCCCTGACTCTACCCAAAATTAATTGATTACAGGGTTATAAAAAGAAAAAAAAACATTATCAATGGTAATGAGGATTCTGATTCTGCTCACCTGGAATCTGCTGTAATAACTTAGTATGGTTCTAAATTAAAGGATGTTTCCTTTTAATTAAAATATATTGTTCACTAAGATTTAATGTTTGAATACCTTTCCAGTATGTATTCTTTTCTTTTCTGCACTACACAACAACCTTCTTCCTATATTGATAAGTATACTCTTTGATCATGATGACTTCAAAAGAATGCTGTGAATAAGCTCTGGATAAACAGTGAGAAGACCCCAGTTCAAGTCCTTAGCATGATTGTTCACTGGTTAATTTAGGGCTGGTCCTTCTTTCTTAATTAAACCTACTTCATCTGACAGTTATAGGGGAATTTAAACATAGCTCTCCCTTATTAACTGTCTCATTTAGCCATTATTTGGCATTAAGATGGTTTTAGGGAAAAACAACTTTTCTGTGGATCATTGTATTAATTAATGTGTCCATATTCATATAATCATGATTTGAGCACTTCACAACCAGTATGCATTTATGATTATCACAGCATCCAAAAAATCACATGATTCCCATTACAAAAGCTTCACAGCCATATTCCAGTAAAAAGATTTAATGGAGACCATAGAAGTTAAACCACAATTAATCTTGATGTGATGTTAAGTCTTTATGCCCACATTCACTTAATAATGAAAGTGAAGCTGAGGTTTTAAGACTGCCACAGTATTCTTTTAATTTGTGAGTGTGGCACTAATTTTAATTAGTGAGTGTGGAGTTGCTAATCCCAGTTGTGATCCATAAGTGAGGAGGAGAAAGCACTATTTATGCCTCCTTGAACACCTGGATGAAAGGCAGGTTACAAATCTAATAAAGCCTAAAATATAAATAAATAAATTTCAGAAACATTGTAGTTTTTTTTCTCATCATATTAGCAACTTTCATGTAACTTTTATCATCAATCTTTGAAACTCAATAATAGCTACAACACATTCTAAATTTCAGTTTGTTTTATTTTATGATATATTAAACACATTTTCTTAAACAAGCTCCATGAAGTGCATGAAAGTTAATTATATATTAAGGTCCACTATAGTCTAAGAAAAAAATCCAATTCATCTTACCTGTGGAACTTTGTAAGTGTCTAAAATATCTACCAAAAAGATTCCTGGATCAATAGTCCCAACAACTGATGTAAGTTTGTTCAAATTGCCACACTTGTAATTGGGAATGAATCTGTTCTGACTGGAGAAAAATTCCATTTTGGCATGATAGCCACCATACCTATCACAGATTCTGAAGCCCAAGGTAATATTAGGTAAGAGTTGAAGCTCTTCATTGATCTTCTTAACAGCAAATATCATGGCCAAGATATGTTGATAAAACTTAGTCAGGACTCTGTAAAGGGAACTAGATGTTGTATCAAAGAAAATTCTCTACATAAAAATTATGCTCCTTGAAGAAAGATATCTTACAAAGAGATAATGACTCTTTCATATTAACTGAATAAAGCCATGTCAAAATAAAGTATTAGAAAGTAATCGTCATTGATTCATGTTAATTAATATATTATTAGTCATTATAAAAATTATGGAATTATTTTGAGAGGGATAATAATGGGATTTTTCTTTCATTTTGCTATTGTTAATCAATTCTGATTATGTGAAGCTGCTGACCAGAATCATTGCCAAGCATGTAATATGGATATTAGTATTGTATAGCTGTGAAGTAAAATTGGCTTAATCGCTTTTTCTTACGCATATGGTGGTTTCATTTTAATGTAATTACAAAAACTGGCAAACATGGCATATATTTAGAATTTTGTCTGACTTAAACAAGGTATATAAAGACTACAGAAATATTCAAATATCTCTGAATATCAAAGAATCTATTACAATTTAATCAAAATTCAAAGTGGGTTTTCCCCCCTTGAAATATTTGTAAACATTCATGATAGTGATGTAATTTTTATGGCCTTGATAATCTTTGGTATAAAATGGTACATTGAGTAGAAATTAGTTAAGAGAATTAAGAAAACTGAATGAGGATGTTAACAATTAAAGAACATTCAGAGTGTGTAGTTCTGTCTTACTCCTTCCCAGCACTTTCAGTTAATTAAAATATTATCTCTGGAAGAAAACTGCATGTCTTATTTATCAAAGTAAATTATGCTGTATCTCTTATTGAATATTATTATTCCTTTAGTTTGGTGCAAATTCACATTTTTTGCAGAGTCAGTTTTAGAGGCTGATGCTGTAATTTGCATCCCAAAGGAAGGGACAGAGTGTTGGGAGAGAGATACCTATCTTGCCTAAATCCATTAGCCATGAGTTATTGAAAATTTGATTGTAATAATGTAATGCTTATAGCCTAGATAACTTGATTGCAGTGGTCATAATGAAAAAGTTGAAGGAAAATAATTAAGTGAACTAATAAAGGCAGAATAAGGACTTTACAAATAAAAACATTTGGAGCATGTTGTACCTTTTTTCCTCACCCCCCCCCTCCACCATCCCTCCAAGGTTCTTTCAGCTTATATGAAAATTAGTACTGAAAGAAGACTGCATGCCTCATTTACTGAAATAAACATGCTATATCTCTGACTGTACATAATTATTCCTACAGTTCTGTACCATTCCATATCTTCTGAGAACTCAGATTTAGAAGCTATAATTCCCACCCTGAGAGAAGGGACTGGAAGCTTGGGGGTGGGATAATTATTTGTCAGACACTACTGGCTATGAGATATTGAATAATTAGTTGGATTCTTTGCTTTGATTTAAAGTACATAGGTTCTACCTTTTGTTTTCCTTTACCAAGTACTAAGAAATCATTTATAAACTGAAAAAAATCATCCTATTTAAACATAGGTGGGAAAGATTGTTTTTAATCACAAAGCTAATAATGATACATATAAAAACTATACTACAGAATTTGATCTAGATTGATACAGACTATGGAAAGAAAATAGTGTCTTACAAAGATTCGCTAATAAGAGAATGATGTGGATCTTGCTCAAACCTTTCTGCATCTCTGGTTGGGAAGACAAGAGAAATAATGTCACCAATGATTAGGTCACCTGGCTGGAAATATTTGTGAACAATTGGGATAGGATCTTGGATGCTACATTTTATTGGTTGTGTATTAGAAGCCCTGTATGGCAATAGCAGTAGGAGAAGAATCAATATCATTGTAATAAATATTAATCTCAATTTGACAAAGTTTCTCTCAGTTGCACACATCTTAAACCTCCCCAAAATGTGGCAAACTTGAACTGAATCTCTTTCTGTCCTTCACAAGATTTTTGTAGCAAATCTTAGAATGCAAATGGGTCAGAACAATCAGAATGATTGTTCTACCTGTCCCTAAATTCTAAAATATTTAAATGTCCATCAACACTTAGTCCTCATGCTTCCAAGGGTAATAATTGATCAACCAAGAGTTTGAGGAATAGCAAAGTAATAATACTCTTTTTCATAATTATAAGGGGAAGAGAAAATTGCACCCTTCAAATTATTAATGGAATAGTAAGGGTGGAATGAGTCATCATACAATAAAGGAAAAGATTTTGAAATAAATGAAAGTTTTATGTGACAAAATTCATGTAGTATACTTGAGCCAGCCAAAAACTTTAGCAAAAAAAAATTCAGACTGTGTAAAGACATATATCTGCACTTCTTTGCAACAAGATGCAGTTTTTCCCCTTTAGTTACCTCAACTACTATAATAAGATCCTAGTAAAAGTTTTTTTGGCTTAAAAGGTAATTGCATATCACCATGGAGGCAAATGCAAATATTTCTAAATATTGTTATACAAACATGACTTTAAAGCAAGAACTACCATGTTTTCCCAAAAATAAAACTTACCCCTCAAATAACCCATAGCCTGATTTTTAAACATGCACCTAATATAAGCCCTATCCCAAAAATAACCCCTAGTGAAGATCCTCATCAGCCAGGGAGGGGGAGGGCATGGCCAGCACCAGAGGTGGCAAGGGTTGATGGCACAGCACAGATGAGTTGATTACTTCTCCAAGCAGCAGAAAGAGACAGAGGCAGGGCAAGGCACACAATCCAGATGGGCAGAGATGGTATTTAGCAGTTCTGACCAGATCTGGAGAACTGATAGCAGAAATTTTGACTAGTTTGGAGAAACAGCAAATACCACCTCTGACTGGAGATTTTATAGTATCCTTCCCCTGCCACGCTCACCAAGCCATGCCCACAGAACCAATAGTAAAAAAATTGAATCCTGTGACTGCAGATGAGCCACATGGGCAGCCATGGGAGGCTTGCTTTTGTGTAGTGTAGTGGCACCAGCAGCAGACGGAGTCAGAGGTGCAGGGGTAAGGTAGGGTTAAGGCAGATGATCCAGATGCTCTGCACAAGCTGCAGGCAAGCTGAGAGAAATGCAGAAGAGAGAATTAGAAGTAGAGAGACAAGGGGGTAAAAAAGGGAGGAGAAGATGAGAGGGAAGAAAGAAAGGAAAAGAAGTTATAAAGGACAGAAGCAAAATATAGAGAAACAGGGCTATTTAGAGATAATGGGTGAAAATTTAATGGAAAAAGGGATTCTGCAAAGGTATATAAGATAGTATGGTTATATTAGAAACAGAAATAATTTTAGAAAATATGAAACAATGTATGATTAAAATGTCTGATAAAATAGCTATCGTAATTCAGTGGAATGCTTGTCAATAAATAAATGTAATAAAAGGTATATTTAATGATTTATAAAACATATGTGAAGAGAAATAAGGGAAAAAATAATTATGGAGATTATATGTGTTTTTAAGGAAGTATGATATTTAATTGAAAAGAAGTGTTAAAGATGTTAAGATTTTAATGATTATTAATGATAGAACTGAACTGGAATGGAATGAGTGTTTATAATTATATATATTTACAATCTTTGTTTCTTTTTTTAAAAAAGAATATAGTGTGTATTATAAGAATGTACCAAGCAGAATTCGATTGGAAGCTATGTATTATGTATTATATTGAAGGTCATAAACTTAGGGTATATATTGAAGTTTAAATAAGAGTTGAATGGATGTAATTAAAAGATATAAAGGTGTCATACTCCAATTAGTAACTACAGGAGAAAATTTGTTTAATGAGAAAAGATAATATGAAATTGAAACAGAACAGACAAAAGTATAAATATAATGATTTGAATTGAGATGAGATAATCAAAATAAAATTGAGAAAATTAAAAGAGGGGAAAATTATATAGAAAATGTAAAATAGTATAAGATATGGAATAGAATACAAAAAGGAGCATGAAATTGAGTTTTGTGTCTGTATGAAGAAGTTCAACCCAGGACCATGCTATTTTCAAAAAAGATGTTTTACTTGTATTTTGTATGTGTGAAAACCCAAATAAAACTTTATTAAAAAAATAAAAAAGAACAATTCATTGTTAACTATGACTGTGCAAAATTAGCAGCTCTCTGGCTCTACCAGATAATAACCAAGTAAGCAGACAGTAGCTATGAACATTTTGAATAGAACACCTTCTTTTCTCCTTCTTTTGCTTTCCTCCTTCTTTTGCTTTTCCTGCTTTCCTCTGGGACTTATAAAACTTAGAAGTTGGGAAAGTATAAAGAGTTTCCAAATCAGGCTGGATTATAACTTGCTTTGATGGAACATGATTAATTTTTAAAATTACAGTTGGACATAAGTAGAGAAGACCAATTTTTGGCAAGGAATCTGATCAAATATGACATACATTTTAGGTGGCTGATACCTGAAGGCCTATTGGTGACTTGGCATGAAAAAAAAGATACAGGTTAGATTCAATAGATAAGGCAATTGAATTTGATGAACAACACTTTGGCATGGAGGAAGAGGCAGAGGAAAGAGAGAAAACAGATGATAAGAGACAAGAAGTGTTGGTCAAAAAGGGAAAAAGTTAAAAGGGAATGAAAGGGAGAAAAAAGAAAGAGCAGAATGGGAAGAAGCTAGAGCAAAAGAACAGAAACAAATAAGAACCTCTAGAACTACTAGATTGATGTATAAGTAAAAAGATGGAAGAAGAAATTACTTTAATGTCAATCAATGTTAATGGATTGAACTCAGCAGTGAAAAAGAAAACTTTTTTCAATAAATTAAAAAGATTGAATTTAGATTTGATTTTGTCTCCAGGAAGTTCATATTAAAAAGGAGCAGTATAAACTATTGGAAAACCCTAAAATAGGGAAACTATATGCCTCATTAGTACAGCAGAAAAAAAGAGGGATGGCCCTCTTCATCAAAGAATTCATAGAATCAAAACAAATTTATAACGATGAAGAGAGGAGAATTCTGATAGTGGAAGTAATGATTAATTATAAACTGATACTATTAACAGTAATATATGCACC